AGAGTCAGTTCTTACACTTCCTTCAGCCTGGGCGTATTGCCTGCTTGAGCTCGAAATACGCCGTGAGCGTGGTAAAGGTCTGATGAGCACGGTCTAGATAACGTTGTTCTTGTCCCTGCACGAAATGGACCGTTGGAAGTCAGGAAGGTGTACAGCTAATCTATAAACCGTGTGCGACTTCTCTTGCATTGTAAAGCCGAAGATTCTGTACATACTTTGAGGCGCACATACGTAGCGAGTGTTCAGATGTTGTTTAATTTCATCCAAATTCGTGTTTTCATCTGCATTCCCATCGCTTTCGATATTAATGCGAGCCCGATCTGTCCCCTTATAGATGTACTTGTAGAGATATTTCACCGTAGAAATCATTCCACAAATCTCCAGGTTAACGTGACAGTCGAACTTCATCAAGAGGTACGGATTTGATGGAACAACCCACTCGTCACCGTACAGGACACCGTTGATTTCCACGGGTGAACGGTTGCGACGCCTGTAGTTGGGGTATCCATCGACATCCAGTGACGTACTCTCTCGTAACTGCTTTGGAAATCGTTTCGAGCAAGATCCGTTCCTGCAGGGAGAGTCCGTCCGCCCGCACTGTCTAATCATATAGGAAGTCACCGCAGCGTGAAGATCTGGCTCTTCTACGGGGTTAGGGATTTCCGCACATATAGACCTATCTACATCGTCAGCTGTTCTCACTCTCCATCCTTCCTTCATTATTAAGAGCATATGACAGTGTGGGAGACCTCGCTTTTGAAATTCGACTACGTACACGTAGGCTTGTACTTCTCCAAGAACATTTTTTGAATAGATCATCACAAGTTCTTGTAGTTTGGCGTTGAAAACACGCGCCACCAAGTCTGGGCGATCGGATGCGGTCTGACCACTAAAAAGATTTTCTGGATTTCCTTTCCACTGAGGGTTGCATGTTATGGTCAAGAAATAAGTAGGTCTTCCATACGTGCAACTATAGCCATAGCGTCCTGATATGACTGTTGCATGGACCGCGGACTGCCGAAATGAGACGATGACAACAATCACTCGATTTTCTGGCGGGCCGGAATTGTCGTCAGATTATCCTGGAGTCCTCTATATGAGTCGCCGTGTAAGGCAGGTTGATTCCGCCTTTGGAAATTGAGACGATACTGCTCTATCTTAACGCAGGCATCGACATGAACTGTAGGAACAGCTTTCCAGCATAGAGAATAGGGTTGAACGTATCGCGTATCGAGAACAAATAAGAATAGTATTCTTTTTGTGTTATGCGTTGATTTAGTCATACTTGGTTCCCACCCACCTTCTCCCGTTGGAAACAGAAGAGGGTACGTGAGAGGGTCGCATATTTTATCGATATCACGAATATTCATAAGCTGTTCTCCAGAAGCGTTCCGCAGATGGACAGCGAAGCTCCGTGTAGCAGGGACATCGTTGTCTTCTCCAACGTAAACAACTGCTACTTCATTTGCTGTCGGCAGGTCGTATTGACGACGTCTCAATCCTCTCTCATTGCTTTCTTCGAATATCATGCGTATCCTCAAAGGAGCACGGTTCTCGCGAGCAGCTGCTGCAACTTCCGCTTGTTCAACCTCGCTCATCATTTTGAAAGACTGGGCGTATACA